TTGCCATGAAAAACAAGTCTGTTGTGCTCAGTTGTTTTTCTTACATGTCTTCATAGGTTAATTTTGCTAAAGGTTTGTCAATCTTGTTGGTTTTTCTCAAAGGAGAACTGTTTGTTTAATTGATTCTCTGTAATGTTTCCATTGCTTCCATTTCCTAAAGGTCAGCCATGAGTTTGATTTCTTCTTTCTGTCTACTCCCTTTGAGTACTACTTATTCTTCTTTTTTTCCCCTAGAGCATTCAAATTACTAATATAATACCTTTATAGGTTTTTATTTTTTACTTACTTTTTTTTCATGTAAATACTTAGTGCTATGAACTGCATTCACTGTTTCTCATGGATTTGATTATGTTGCTTTTTTTTTTACTTTAATTCTATTCTAAAAGGTATTTAATTTCCTTCTTGATTTCTTTTCAACCAAGTTTACATTCAATAGAGAGTTGTTTAGCTTCTATGAGTTTGTACATTTCTGCAGTGGCGTCTTGTTCCAATAGTGGACTTGGAGTGGTGACCACACCTTAAGACATGATGGGGCCGATATGTCCCCTCTATCCAGAGACAGTTCTTTGTCCCTCAAAGACACATACCCCTTATCTCTTACCTCTTACTCCTACCCTTGTCCCCTTCTCCTCCCAGTCCCCCATCTCCTTTACCACTGCCTCCTAGCTCATTCTAACACAGACTTCTCATTTTCCACTCTTAAAATGACACCTGAAATGTCATTTGCTGCTGTTTTTCCTGCCTGAGTCAGAAAGCAGCCCCTTTAACTTTTCTACCCAGCTTAATAAATAATCTATGAAAACAGTCATTTGGGTGTGGTGTCTGCCTAATGTAGGATCTGGAAGGGAGACACCACTGTTTGGGAATCCCCTTCAGGGTTGATGGCTTACTTATGAAGGATATATATTGTCTTTATTGTTTATGTTTCTGGTTTTGCATTGGGAACTAAACATCTCCAGTGGATATCTGACCCTCTTCTGCTAGGTAGAGATGTTCAGTTTTTTGATCATAGTTGTTCCAATTTGACAGATTTGGCCAGAAAATAATGCTTAGATTTCAGCCTTGGGAACACTTTGGGTGTTAATGTTCAGATTTCAACTAGTCCCATATCTCAAGTTCTAGTTAGAGTTCTGGATTCAAATTCCAAACAGTTCCCTGATTGGTGCAGTGGCTGGTGTTGATGTTAGTTTAGCCCCTTGGTTCTGGAATTAATAGCAACTCCTGTAGCAGCTTTCTCATTCCCAAATAATCACTCTGAGACTTAATATTAATTATAAATGTTTAGCCCATAGTTTAGGATTATTACTAACTAGCTCCTACAATTTAAATTAACCCATTTTAATTAATTTATGTGGTGCCCCAAGGCCGGTTTTTGTCCAATTTAAAAAGAAGGTTTTGACTTTAACAGAGTAAAATTATATAAAACAAAAAGGAGATTCTCTGACCAAGGCTGTGAGTAGCACTAAATTGTAGATACTCGATTATTTAAGGTAAAACAGACAATAAGTTCTGCAGTTTGCAGTGAGTCTTTCTCTATCTTGCCATCGAGCTCCAAAGTCCCTACACAGAGACTTGTTATTAAATATTAAAACTCTGCCAATAACATAGGCTTCTTTTTTAGCTAACTCATAATTTAAGTGAACCCATTTCTATTGATTTTTTTGCTGCCATGTGGCTCAGAGCTTGTTACCTCATCTCTTACATGTCATTCTCTCTCCACATCTCCAAGCAATTCTGCCTTTCCTCTTCCCAGTATCCTCTGTGTCCTGAAAATCCTGCCTAGCTATTGGCTGTTCAGTTATTTACTATATGAATCTGAGTGACATATCTTTACATAGTGCAATTAAATATCTCACAACAGAGGTTTGTCACTGTGGCCCACTTTCTCTAGATGAAAGGTTTTGTCCAGGTGTGTAATGCTAGGTATGAATTTTCTCTTGTGTGGCAGGCCTCAAATCCAATCATAAAGCAGTTGGTCACCACTCTAGCAGTAGGTCCATCACTGTGTCAGGTATCCTACATTTCTTTTGTCAAAAAGAAACCGACAACAATGCTTCTGGTTTTCTCTATACTGTGAGTGGCACAAGTTTAGGCAGGAGAGGAGTTGAGTCCTTATGTAAACAGGGAGACTGCAGTTTGTTCCAAGATCTAAATCTTTCACTTTTCTCAGAGGAAAGCTTGTTAAGACACAGGGTGTTAACAAAAACATGCAGAGTAGCAGGATATTTAAGTATGGGTATAGAAGTTCTTATCCTGTAAGGAAGATCATTAAGGTCTAGAAGTAAAAGACTTAGAGCCTTTAGGAAGTCCCTGAAACCAGATATAATAGAGTCCTCCATCCCCAGGAATATATAGACTATAAGGAGTGTTGCGAGGTACTCTCAGACAAGCTAATATGCCTGGGAAAAAATATACACCAGCTAAGATACCTGGAAGAGACTCAGACTAACTAACTATGTGAAAAGGACACTCTTCTAAGCATTATACTGTCTACAGGATGTCAAGGATCCTCTAGGTTTCTAGCTATTGTGAGCTGTTACTCCTTTTGGATGAACTGGTCATATAGCCGTTTTTGAGTCATTTCTAATCCTGTAACACCTCATAAATATTACTATAAGCACCAGAATGAAGATAAGTCCCATTATTTCACCAAATTGGGCTTTATTTGTATGCAATCTTTGGCTTCGGGTTAGTAGATGTTTGTTTATACCTCTCCAGAAATATTGACATACGTTATAGATAGAGGATAGTTCCAGTCTATTTTATGTAGGTATATTTGACAATGTTACTCTCATCTTTGTTGCACAGCATTATAAAATTGTGGATTATAAAAATTGAAAAGTTATGTCTATGTAAGATATAATTCTCTGTATTGGACTATTACTGAAAACACATAATTTCTGTCTGTCTGAGTCTGTTCTGTGTTGTGTCAGGACATTCCAGATAAAATGTTATATAAGTAAAATAAATGCAATACTGGCAGATCTATAAGCTTGGGAATCCAAGACCTAATCTTGAGCATTTGATGAGGTTTCTTCCTGTATCTCTCTTACAGGATATGGTGGTAGTCAGAGTTTAAGCCTGGTGTTTCCAAAATCTTGCCTTTCCATTCAAAAATTTGGGGTAAAGGCTCACACAGATGAAAATAAGCAGTGAAACATTATCCATGGCAAAGTGACAGTACAGATCAGACAGGAAATTGTGTAAAGAGCAACAGTGAGCCACATGAGGAAAGGAGCTCAGGGGCCCCAGTTGTTTGGAGCCCCTTTCATGGAGTTCAAGAAAAAGAGAAATTGGGGTGCTGATGGGATAGGACATAGGTGAATCATCATTTCAAATGATAGGTTTATATTAGGTAGGCATTTCCTTCCTGTACACATCCTTTTCTACACAGTATTTTATTTTGATTATATACATACAATTATACAAAGGAAGAAGTGGTAAATAGTACATTCATCATAAACGTTCCCTTTGAGGACACAGTTCATCTTGTTGTATATGCAGACAAACTAGAACTAGTCTAGACTAGATCTGACCATCTTTCTTGGTATTAAAAAGGTTCTGTGACATATTTAATATAAATAAGTGTTGAATGAAGGAAGTTCTAAGGGCTAATACTTTTCATTGTTTGCTATATTTATATTTGCAACATGACATATGTGGGTGTATATGTGGCTAATAGTTTTCAGTTATATTGTTAGAAGAATGTTGAATGTGCACAAGAGATACAGATAATGCTCTCTGGCTGGAAAGCACATTTGTGGATATTGGACAAGAAAGGTGGTGTCTCGTGTCCAAGCTGTTCCCCAGGCTATACTGCTTCATCTTCATGTGCTGAAAAAGCAAAGCTAAAACACAACAAATAATAAAAGAAAAACAAAAACACAGAATTCCCTTCTAATGATGGGATGTGACCAAGATGGAAACACACCCAGTGAAGCCCAAATTTTCAGGATCATTGGAATGGGTAAGAAGACATGGATTTCTGAGACGGGAGTTTCACTCATCCTTATCTCTTGTGTCTTCCTGCCATTATTTCCTCTAGTCCCATCTTTCCTTTGCCCTTAACTCCATGCCAGGTTTTTGCCTGATGTGATGTTAATAATGATTGTGAACCAGACAAAATCTAGACTAACTCATGGGGATATCTTGAGCATGTGCTTGAGGGGCTTTCTAGATGGGGTTAGAATTTGGAAACACTGCTCTCAAATGTGGGTAGTATTGTTGAATATGTCAGGTCCTGAACTGAATAAAAAGAGAGAGAAAAAGAGAAACAAAGACAAAGAGACATAGAGAGACTCAGGGAAAGACAGAGACAGAGACCAAAAGAAAGAAAGAGACACACACACAGAGCACTCAGCTCTAGAACTCACCTCTTTCTGTGTCCTGCTGTAATCACAATGTGACTCTCCATCTCACTCTGCTCTACCATTAAACCATGAGCAAAATTAAACCCATTTTTCTTTCACTTGCTTTGGTCAGGTGTGTTTTCACAGCAGTGAGAGAGTTAACAATACTCTAGAAATATCTCTCTGAGATCTCTGAGAATTCTGACTAATTTCTTAATTCCTTTGTCGTAGGGCTTTCTCATTTGCTCTTAAGTTTTCCTGTGACATATTTCATACTAGAATTGGAGTTGAGATTCCTTAGTGTTGCAAATTTTATTCCCCACTGTTACCACCCAACTTTTGGGGATTCTTTGCTCAAATAGTTAAACCGTGTAACATACTCACATTAATTAGCAAAATGAGTCTGAAGTCTGGTCCTGTCCTCAGCACAGCTGTTTTGGAAACTGCAGTCAGAGCTGAGTTCAGTCTTTTCCTGTGTCCTATTAATGCTGTGTCTTTTCTGGGCAGGATACAATCTATTTGTTCTTAAACGTGATTTGTCCTTAAACATCACACTTAAATCCTGTATTTCACATATTTATCTGGAGGCCACTAACTTTTAATTTACAGAAACTATCAAATGGTTGAAAGATATTTATAAGGAATCACTGCTTTACAGAAAATGTGTTTTATTTAAAGTTTATATATAAAACTTATAGATTACCAATTATAAACGTTATAGATAAAAACACAAAGTTTAGATTAACAAAGAAATGTGTAAAGAGTAATAGAAAACATCATTTCTTAGAAATTAAGAAAAGGCTGAGCTGGGGTAGCACAGGTATTTTATTCCAGCATGAGGCAGGCAGAGGCAAGTGGATCTTTGAGTTTTATGCCAGCCTGGTCTACAAAGTGAGTTTCAGGACAACAAGGACTAAACAGAGAAAGCCTATCTAAAAAAACTGAAAAAAAAATTAGCTTGCTTTCATAGGTACAATATTTCAACAGATGTATATTTATGTTCTAGGCTTGGATCATATGTCCATAACAGTATCCTTGGCATGCAGATTTGCAGGTGTATGGTTCTAGAGAGGTTTTCATAGCTGAATCACGGCTGATTGACTTTCTTTCTGACATTGATGACCTTAAAGAAGAAAACGTTGAGGTTAGATCAGTTGAAACACAGGTGGTTACACACTTCTCTCTACATTCCTCCTGACTAGTCAGCATGAGTCAAACCCCCTTTCTCACTCTGACCTATCTCCTTGCAGTCAGCTTTCTTCACTTGTCTGGGACTATGAAACTAACTAGTCACTCCTACAGGCTTGAGCTCAGAGCTACAGTGGAGTGGAAAGGGCTGAGGTACCTGAGGTAAAGATTGGATTGCAGAGTGTCATTGAACTGCAGGTTGAGAGGAGGGAGAAAGGCTTTGCTGGTGCAGCTGCCATGGGTAAGGTTTGGAACTTTGGCTGATGGTTTGAGAAGGATTTACTGTAAGAGCATTTCTACGTGAATATCCAGGTAATCCCTTGTATTTCTTCTATTCACACTGTAATAGTGACCTTTAAAAAAAACTATAAAATGAATGAATACCGCACAGGTGTTATTTATTACAGGGATTTTGGATTTTAGCATATTGTGGTCTGATTTGCTCAGGTCATCCTTGGGAACTTGCAATTTCTGGTCATGATCTTCTGCAACAGAGAGTATTTGAATGTTACAGATAAAGACCCCAAGTTTGTTGAGTTCCAGCCTTTGATAAATTTCAAAAACCAGAGAGTCAGAATTTTAAATAAATATCTTAATTAACCTGATTCTACCAAATTATCTTTTTATTTTGATAAATGAGATGGCTTTTATAATTTTGCTAAACAGGTAACAACATTCTGAGTATTTCTGAATTTATTTTCTTTATCATGATTTAAAAATCCTTACTTAAAATATAATGGAACTAAGTTTATTAAATGCACAAAGCTTAATTTACCTGCACTTGATGGATTTCTATGCAATGCCAACATTCACGTTTTACTAGAGTATTAAATATGTATGTATGATTCTTAAGAAGAATGGTATTTCCAAGAGCACATACCTTCAGGTAACTGTGCAAAACAGACTTTAGCTGCCATGTGTCTTCACTCGAGGACAATTCAAAGCAGACAAGTTGCAGTTTATTTCCTGGCTCACACTTGATACTGGTCAGTCGTCCATAGACCACCACTTCCATTGTCCCAGTATCATCTTCAATGCCATAGTAAATTAAGTTATTCTTCTCATTTTTCTGAAAAACAAGTTAACTTTCATCTTTTAGGAGATGTGTCAAAGCTTGTCACATCTATGAGAAATAGAGTGTCAGCATAAACCTGTCCCTGACAAGGTAAGTGTGGCTCTTAGATTTAGAATCATAGGCACAAGGGCCAGTGAGATGGCTCCATGGGTAAGGGCATTTGTTGGCAAGCCTAGTTACCTGGGCTCCATTACCAGGACTCATGGTAGAAGGACAGAACTCACCTGTGGAGCTTCTCTTCTGACTCCACAATACTTTGTGTTCCCTCCCAACCCTCACAGACAAAATAAAGAAGTAACTGGGGAAAACAGAATTAAAGGGACAAACGAGTATAAGGTGTTCTGGTGAGCAAACCTTTTCTTGGAAATTGCCCTGGAGGTTTTGTGAGCCTAGCCTTTAATGACTGAGCCATCAGTGCTGTCCTTGGAAGCCACTGTTATGTTTAACTTACCTGAGATTGTCATCTGCTGGGTGTCTTTAGGAAAATGAGTATCTTACTAATTACTAGTGGTAACATATCAGAATTGCATAGATTTCCTAGGTTCCCAATTCAGAGATCAAAGATAAAAACAAAACAAAAACAAAAATAAGTAACAAAACCCATTTAATTACAATTGCAGTTTTCTTAGGCCTAAGAAGAAAGGCCTCACTGTGAGTCTGAGAAATATTATTATGTCCTTTTTATTTATTTTAATTTTTATTGAAAATAATGTTATTTTCAAAGAACATGTTTTGAATATAGTTTACCCTCCCCTTCCTACTCCTAGACAATCATATCAAACCCCCCCCCCCGCCCTCTAACTCCATACCTTCTTTTGCTCTCTCTTTGGATCTGCCTGCTTGCCAGCACTTCTTAAGTGTGGGGATTACAGGAAAAGAGGATTGAAGAATGCTCAATTGAAGTTAATTTCTGGCTTCTGGTGCCCTTCTCAGAGCCTCCTGAGGACTGGGGACTGCATTTGGGAGAGCCCCTCCCAGAAGACCAGCTCATCTGGAGTCTGCCAGATTCCTAGTCCCACCTTCAACTACGGGAGGAGATAAGCTTGGTCCTGTTTCCAATCTGCCTTCTAGGGCCCTGCTTGGAGTCCCCTGAGGCCTGGGGACTGCTCACAGGGTAACATGTTCAGGTGGAACAGCCCATCCAGAGTCTTCCAGAACCCTAGTCCCACCACTACCCACTGGAAAATGACAGTCATCAAAGTATTACACCTGCTTTCACCCACCAGAAGAGAACCTTGGCCCCATACCTACCGGGAGTGGGAGAGACCCCACCAGTATGAGCTGGAAGAAGAGATGGGTAGAGGACAGTATAAAAACACAGTCAGTCAACAACAGAAATATCAATATGACACCACCAGAGTCTAGGGACTCCACACCATCAAGAACTGAATTTGCCAACACAGATGAAGCAGAAGAGAATGACCCTAAAAACTACTAAATGAAGTTGATATAGACCCTCAAAAGATAATGAGAAAAATCTCCTAAAGAAATAACAAACCAAAAATTGGAAAAAACAATTCAAACAATGCAAAGTTTGAAAGCTGAAATAGAGACAAAACATAAATAAATAAATAAACAAACAAACAAACACAGTCTGAGGGGATGCAAAGGCTGGGTAAGTATCAGGAACTACAGATGCAAGCATAAGCAACAGAATACAAGAGATGGAAGAGAGAATCTCAGGCATTAACCACACACAAGGAGAAATATATTCATCCACCAAAGAAAATCTTAAATCCACAAAATACCTAGGAAATATGGGACATTGTGGAAAGGCCAAATCTAAGAATAATAGATATAGAATAGGTGAATCTTGAAATTCATAGGCAAATGGATAGAACTTGAAGAAACCATCCTGAGTGAAGTAACCCAGTCAGCACAGAGGAACATGGTATGTACCCACTCATATATGGACTTTAGATAGAGCAAAAGATCACCAGCCTACAATTCACACTGCCATAGAAGCTAGGATACAAGGAGAAACCTAAGAGATTCATACAAGGTCCCCCACAAAAGGAGAAAGGGACAAGATCTCCTGAGGATATTGGGAGTGGGGAGGGGTCAGTGAATGGAGAGGAGTTAGGAGAAAGAGAAGGGAAGGAGAGAACATGTGGGACCAGGAAGATTGAGTCGGGGAATGAATAGATGAGAACAAGAAAAGAGATACCATAATAGAGGGAGCCATTATAACTCTGAGGAGAAAAATGACTCTAGAGAAATGTCCAGGGACCTACAAGAATGACCCCAACTAACAATCTGAGCAACAGTGGAGAGGCTACCTTAAATGTCCTTCCCTCATAAAGAGATTGATAACTAACTTATATGCCATCCTAGAGCCTTCATCTAGTAGCTGATGGAAACAGAAACAGTCACCCAAAGCTAAACATTGAGCTGAACTCCTGGAATCTAGTTGCAGAGATGGAGGAGTGATAAACAAAGGGGTCAAGACCAGGCTAGAGAAACCCACAGAGACAGTTGACCTGAACAAGGGAGAACTCATGGACCCCAGACTGATAGATGGGAAACCAGCGTTGAATGGACCCAGACTACTGAATATGGGTCTCAATTAGAAGGCCTGGGCAGTCTATGGGACCTGTGATAGTGGAACAGGATGTGTCCTGGGTGTAGGAAAGGACTTTGGGAGCACATTCCCCATGAAGGGATACTCCCTTAACCTAGAGACAGGATGGAGGGCCTAGCCCCTACTCCAAATGACTTGACAGGTTTTGATGATCCGTCCTGAAAGTCTTCACCCTCCCTGTGGAGTGGGTGGGGAATAGGATGGGAAAGGGGTGTTAGGAGACATGGGAGGATGGGAGGGAGAGGGAACTGGGATCCATATGTAAAATAATAAAAAAAAATAATAAAATGTGAAAAAAGTGGTTTACAGAACTAAATATAGAATTCTCAATGGAGGAATCTAAAATGGCAGAAAGACAAATAGGAAGTGTTCAACATCCTTAGCCATCAGGGAAATGCAAATCAAAACGACTCTGAGATACCATATTACTCCTGTGAAAATAGCTATAATAAAAAATACCAAAGACAGTTTATGCTGGAGAGGATATGGAGAAAGGGGCACACCCCTCCACTGCTGGTGGGAGTGCAAACTCATACAGTCACTTTGGAAATCAGTATGGCAGTTCCTCAGTTAAATGGGAATTACTCCATCTTAAAACCCACTAATTCTACTCTTCGGCATATGCCCAAAAGATGCACAGTCATACAACAAGAACATCTGTATGTTTTCCCCTGGAGAAGGGGAAAGGTACACGATCTCCTGAGCAAATTGGGAGCATGGAGGGAGGGGAGAGGGAGTTAGGAGAAAGAAAAGGGGAGAAGAGGAAGGGAGAGGTGGGTATGAGGGAACAGGAAAATTGAAACAAGGAAAAATAGAGAAGAAGAAAAGAGATACCATAATAAAGGGAGCCATTGTAGATTTATAGAGAAATCTGGCACTTAGGAAATGCCCAGAGATCTACAAGGATGAACCCAACTAACAATCTAAGCAATTGTGGAGAAGTTACCATTAATGCCCTTCCACAATAATGATATTGATTATTACCTTATATGACATTCTAGAGCCTTCATCTAGTAGCTGATGGAAGCAGAAGCAGACATCCACAGCTACAGAGAGAGTTACAGTTACAGAGAGCGAGGAGTGATGAGCAAAGGGGTCAAGACCAGGCTAAAGAAACCCACAGAATCAGCTGATCTGAACAAGGGGGAGCTCATGCACCTCTGTCTGATAGTTTAGAACTCAGCATAAGGCTGACCCAGAGCCCTTTAATGTGGTGTTAGTTAGGAGGATTGGATGGTCTATGGGGCCTCTGGTAAGTGGTTCAGTATTTATCACTAGTATAATTATGGACTTCGGGAGTTCAACCCCCATAGAAGGATACTTTCTCAGCCTAGACACATGGGGGAGGGGGGCAAGGCCCTGCCCCAAATGATATGACAGATTCTGAAGAATCCCCATGGAAGGCTTCACCCTCCCTGGGAACAGAAATGGAATTGGGTAGGGTTTGGTGGGGGGTAATAGGGGAAGATGTTAGGGTGAAAAAATTGGTATTGGCATGTAAAACAATCTTATTTCAATTAAAAGAAAAAAATTAAATGTGAAAATAAAGGAGCAAACTCACCCCAGAGGAGTAGAAGGGAGGAAATAATCAATTTGAGGGCTGAAATCAATATAGTAGAAACTAGGAAAACAATAAAAGAAACAATGTAATAAAGAGTTAGTTCTTCATGAAAATCAGCAAGATAGACAAACCTTTATCCAAACTAACAAAAAGGCAGAGGGAGAACCTGCAAATTAACAAAATCAGAAATGAAAAGGGGACTTAACATCAGACACTGGGGAAATCAAGAGAATCTTCAGGTCATATTTTGAAAACCTGTATTCCACAAAATCGAAAATGTAGTGGAAATGGACATTTTTTCCTGGATAGATATCACTTACCAAAATTAAATCAAGAAGGGATAAGCAATTCAGATAGACCTATAACCCCTAGTGAAACAGAAGTAGTCATCAAAAGTCTCCCAACCAAAAAAAGCCCAGGGCCAGATGGCTTCAGTGCAGAATTCTACCAGAAAGTCAAAGAACAGCTAATACCAATACTCCTCAAATTTTTACACACAATAGAAGCAGAAGGGTCATTGCCAAACTCTTTTTTTTTTTTTTTTTTTTTTTTTTGAGGCTACACAAAGTCACACAAAGACATACCTAAGAAAGAAAACTACAGACTAATATCCATCATGAACGTAGATGCAAACATAATAAAATATTGGCAAATCGAATCCAAGAACACATCAGAGAAATTATCCACCTTCACCAAGTAGACTTCATCCCAGGGATGCAGGGAGATCAACATAAGAAAATCTATCAATGTAATCCACCATATAAACAAACTGAAAAAGGAAAATCATATGATCACCTCACTAGATATTGAAAAAGCCTCTGACAAAATCCAACACCCCTTCATGATAAAAGT